CTGTATAAGAACCTTATTCGTGGCCTCGTTCACTACCTACACTAGTCTTCTCTCTGCAGCCAACCCGCAAGCAACTCGTCTACTCAGCTGCTCGACCTCGTTGCCTGAAGATGCTCAGTGATGAGCGAAACGCGTCGCAGGATTTACCTAACCTTCCATTTGGACAAATTTTAAGACTTATTGACCCTGTTACTGTACCTCTTATCAGAAAGCTTGAGAGATTAAACTCAAAAGATGTCCTCAATAAAACTGGCATTATTTTTAACCAAACATGATTGTCATGTATAACTTTTGCAAATTAATTAATGCCATCTGATTTAATAATTTTCTTGTAGACATTTAAAAATCTAAATATAGCTTGTCGTTGAGATTATCGTACTTATTTAAACAAATAATGGTCTTATAATTTTCGAAAAGTGAAATTTACGAGAGTCCTGGCATGTTAAACCATTATCACCTCACTCAAGAATTTTTACACTGTACAACTGCTCAGTCGTACATCAAGAGTCCCAGGATTCTGAATAATAAAAATTTAAACAGCCACAATAAAAAGTTTCTGAACGTTAAGTTTGAGTAGAAAATAACCTTCTATTTTCTAGCGTTACAGAATTTGAACTGGTTTTATTAAAATTTATTGTGTTGTATATTTTGTTTTTGATTGGGATCAGTGATGTGGTACTGGATAGCACTTGTCGCAAATTTTATGGCAAAATGTAAATATGTTCCAATGGACAATGTTATTATTAAAAAACCTCATGTACTCTTAATAATAATTCAATATAATTAAATAGAGGTTTATATAATATATATTTAATATATATAACGATTTGCGTTATTTAGTGCGATTGTTGTCAGTAAACGAGAAGTAAGATGAAAACTTCTGGAGATAATTTGAAAAGAATATTATGGCTGAACTATATTTATTATTATATAAATACACAAATTTGTATGTTAAAAAGAGTACTTCAGTGAAACAGATGTAAATGTGTTCACTACAAGGTTTTAAGTCCACGCTAATATTGTTTTTAGGTGTACATTGTAGGTAAAGTATTTGCGACAGCGCAGCTCTGTTGGTTCAGAGCCTGCGTCTGTCATTTAGTAACTGCGGTCGATGAATGAATGTATATTCAACCTCAATATCTGTACGTTATATGAACGTACATTCTTTTTCATGATCTTCAAACTGTTCGAAGGTCATGTTTTAGATCCTAAACGTGGCTGGAGATTTAGCCTTATCTTTCAATTTATTTATGCCAGTCCCATATTTTCCTGATAATTTTCCTAATTTTTCCTAATCCATGAAATTTTTCCGTAATAATTTCATGGAATTACAATTTCATTGAACAAACAAATAGAATTAAAATTAAATATATAAAATCATATTTTAACATCCAATTATTTCATCACCACTTCTCCATTGTTTCGTACTGAATTTTTTACTTCAATTAAGCGTATGAATCGACATGCAGCTACATACACAAAGCGTGGACGTCAATTGTTCCGTTTTTAGGCTATCGCATGATTTATGAACAAGAAATCATTACATAATTTATATTAATGAAATCGCCTAACTTCATCCATTCACATTTCCCTGAAGTTTTTTCCAATGAACCTGACGTTAATTGTCTGACGTCCACCATTGGACGTTTTACCTAGCGTAGAGTCACGAAATTATATGGGATCAAAGCAAGAGAAATCGTTGGACAAATCCGAGATTCACTGGTGGTGAGACATGATCACCAAACCCGTGAAATATGTTAATATTACATCTGCGCCGAGACTACATTAATTTGCCATATGTTTCTTTAGTCCTTACTTTATATTAAAGTATAAATTTCTCGAATGAAGTTGGATATCCAACTTCAAATATTAGTTAATAATACTGATAAGTAATAAGTAACACTAGAATGGATTGGATGTTGACTGGTAACAAATAACTACGTACTCAACAATAAAGTCATCGAAGTTTCACCATGAAAGCAAAAAATTTCTTTCCCCCCCCCTTTTTTTATACTAAATTTTTGATGAAGTTTTAATTGATACGAGGTGTTTAAAGGTACAACTAATGAGGAATGTATGATGTGAATTAGACCCCTATAGAGTTATTCAATTTTTAATGAAACACTATTTTGTAAAAAGTATCGAAATGGGCCCATTGCCCCACCCCCGGGGCAATGGGCCCATGGGCTTGGGGCAAGGCGCCCACCCTAGTTAAGCTTTGTTCTTTTACCACAATTGCATATTTTTCGTTTAAAAATGATAAAACAACACCCTACAGTTAAACAATAAGAAAAATGTAATAAAAAATATGACATTCATTCATTTATAAACAACTTAAAAAATCATATCCTTAACTTGAAAAAATATGCTCTTGGCCTGAAAATTCTATCACTGACGCGAAGAAAAATATTTCATTGACATAAAAATATATATCCTTGACTTGAAAAAATATATTTTGCGAT